GCGTGCCGCACAGAGACACGCTCATCCTGGCAGGAGACTTCAATAGCTCCGTACAAAAGCAGCCTAGGTTGGTAGGTCCCGGGACCACCTGCCCACAAGAACCGAGGCCCGACGAGCCAGAGCTAACCAACTTTCTACTCAATCATCGCTTAGTTGCTCTCAACACGTGGAGGCCTCAGCCGACACATACATTTCGGCAAGGGGAAGCGCGCACTCAGATTGACTTTGTGCTCACCAAGAAAGGTCTCTGCTGGTGGCAATGCCAAGGCCTCTACGCCGCTGGCGGATTTCCCGCTGGGCAGCTGGAAAAAAGGCGGGCACTTGCCCATAAGTGCCACTGTCAAGCCAGTTCGGCACTGGAACCTGCCTGCTCCTCAGCTACAGCAACATCACTACAACTCTGCTGCCCTGCAAGCAGCTGTCAGGGACAACACGTTGCCAGCCCAGCAAATGCTCGAGTGGGTCAAAGCACGCCTCACCCCGGACATGCAGCCGGCGTCTTGGGATCGTCTCCTTGGCGAAGCGACATCTAGGTTTTTCCCTAAGACCCCGGTGGCAATGCCAGATAGTCCGGAAACGCGCATAGCCAGACGCATGTGGCGCTCTGCGCGTGGGAGCAATGCTCACCCCAGGGCAGAGTCATCGCCGGATGATGAGGCCCGACAAACCCTGTGTGAGCAGCATAAACAAGCGGTTAAGCAGGCTCGAAAATGCCAAACAAAGCGGTTTCTTGCTGAGGTGGATCAGGCTCTGAGCCAGGGCGACCAGCACCTTGCATATCAGACTCTCAAGCATCTCCGTCCGTGGAAACCGGCCTTGAAAGCACAGCTCAAGGACGAGAAGGGCTTCCTGCTCAGTCCCGCGAACGAACTGGATGAACTGGGGCAGTATGCAGCCAAGGTCTTCGCGGCGCATCCACAGCTTCCGTCGGACTCGGGACTGTTGCCCCTCTTGCCACACACCAAGTTAGCGAAGCACATTGCCTCGATCAAACCTGGCAAGGCAGTTCCAAAAGGAGCGGCACCGGCCGCAGCCTGGAAACTTTGCGCTCAGCCGGTCTCGGAGGCGCTTTCACAGTACTGTTCCAGTCTGGCGCAGGACCAGTCCCTGGACGACGATCTGACTCGCGCGGATCTTTGCCTCATACCAAAACCGGGTAAACCGGCAGACAAGCCTTCCCAACTAAGGCCACTGGGCATCCTTCGCCCGGATGCTAAGGGACTGGCGGGCACGGCCAAGGAGCTCCTGGAGCCTCTCACAGTGCCGTACATGAAGCCACTGCCCCAGTTTGCGTACCTCCCTGGGAGAGGTCTCTCTGACGCACAGAGTAGAGTGGTTCAGCACTTGAGGGAAGCCAGGCAACTCTGTCGCAATGCGAATCTCACCCGAGCAGATCAACAGCGGGGACAATGTCCTGTGGGTCTAGTCGGCGGCATCACTTTCGCTCTTGACCTTTCACAGGCATTCGACACTGTCTCTCGCAGTGAGATTCTGTCCCTGCTCGATGAACTGGGCGCGGACCCCTCCCTTCAGAAGCTCATACATGGCCTTCATCATCGGTCCAAGTACAGGCTTCACTCTCAGGGGGCCTACAAGGACGTGGAAACCACCACGGGCATCAAACAAGGCTGCAAGTTGGCCCCCACGTTGTTTTCTGTGCTCACGGGCCGCCTTCTTCATAGGTTGATCGACACGTTTGGCTGGGACAATGTCCGCAAATACTTCACAGGATACGCGGACGATTTCACCATGCATCGCACCATCCGCAGCAAAGCTGACGTGGACGCAGCTCACAAGATGATCCTACAGCTTCTGTCGGAGGTGGAGAAACTGGGATTGCGCGTCAACCCGGCCAAATGTGCCATACTCGTCAAGCTTAACGGCAGGGAGGCGGAGGCCACGCTTCAGAAACACACCTGCTGGCTCCCCGACTCGGAGGGCAAGCTACAGAGGCATTGGCGCTTAGGCAGGCACAAATCTTTCCCTGCCTACAGACTTGAGACGCAAGTCAAGTACCTGGGCATCCAAATCTCCTATGGTAACTTTGAAATGCAGACGCTGCGCTTCCGCATAGCAGAGGCTGCCAAAAAGCTCCAGCAGGTTAAGCGATTCGTTTACAATCGCCGTACCGCGGGGCCCATGGCCAGGCTGAAGGTTTGGTTCACCACCGTATGGGCCACTTTGGTCACGGGTCTTCCCGAAGTCGGCCTCACGGAGGAGACGGCCAGGCATCTCAGAGGATGGTATGCGCACAAGATACGCTCAGTCCTCAATCAACCTGCTCATGTCAGCCACACGCCCACAGCAGACCTGTACCGTCTGCACTCAATCCAGGACCCGGTAGCTAAAATTCAAGCCAGGATGACTTCCAGACTTAAGCGATTGTGCAAAAGACCAAGCAACCCCGAGGCCATCCCCTCAGCCCTGCCGGCAAACATTCTAAGCGCATCCTCGGTGACGCGAGGCCCATGGGCCCAGCTGGGTCCCTCAGCAACGAGCTCAGAAGCACACCGGCAGCCGTCACGGCCAGCTACATATGGTGATGTCACGCAAATGAGTCACGTTGTACAGGACCTGCAGGACATGCTGAGAGAGGTCGAAAACCTTCCGGCATCTACTGAAGCCTCGCAGCAGAGACTTCACTCCTGCCCTCACTGCGGGTCTGGCTTTGTCTCTGCACACGGCTTACACATGCACGTTACGCGAATGCATCGAGAACACGTGTCGAGGTACATTCCCCCCTCCTTTGATCGCAGTCGGCATTCTAAGGATGGTCTACCTGTCTGTTCTGCATGCGACAAGGCCTTCCATCAATGGAAAGGCCTACGCGACCATCTCTTGTCGGGGGCCTGCACGCAGCCGGATCGCCTGCGCCAGATCTCCCTCACCACGGAGGAACAGCTGCAAGGTCAGGCCCTCCAGGGCTTGGCGGCCTTCCGAGCTAAGGTGCAGAGCTCGCCAAGCAACCGACTCAGTGCCCTTGCCACCCAGCCCGAAGCTCAGGAGCTCAAACATCGGTGCATCTTGTGCGGTTTTTGGACCCCGGACCACACCAAGATGAAAAATCATCACAGACAGGCCCATGCACTGGCCTGGCAACGTGACGGTCCGGCAGCAATTCAGCTTTGCAGGGCATATTCAGTGCAGATGATCAAGGGGCACTCGTGTCCCTTCTGTAAGCTGCAGGTTTATGACAAACGCAAGCACCCGGAGCAGTGCATTGTCCTGTTTCAGGTCCTGCTTGGGTGGCACAAGGTACAAGGCACCGACAAGATGCGGGAACAATGTTCCAAACCTCATCCAAAGACCGCGGTGACAATGTCACTTAGCGGTTTTTTCACGGCTGCAGACAAGCCAGCTGCCGTGGCTTCATCGCCACCTGTCGCCATGGCAGCGACAGGTGCCGCCGGCAGCACTCTCCCGCCGGGCCTGTACTCTCGTATGCGGCACATGTTGAACTCGGGTAACACATGCTACGTCAACGCGACCATTCAAGCCCTCTTAGCGGCGCTTGACTCTGTGTCCAATGTAGCGGAGCTGGAACCACTGGTTCAACACTGCACAAGCACGGAAGCGGATCCAATGGATGCGAGGCCCATCAATCCTCCAAGCCTCTTCGCTCTCCGGTCCCTAGTGCCAAGATGGCGATTCGATGGCCGTCAACAAGACGCCTCCGAATTTGCAACGTATCTGGTAGAGCACAACACGGGAACTCTGCAACCAGCTCGCTGGGAGGGACGCACCAATGGAGTGCCGGAAAGTGAGGACGATGGTCTCACGCCGCTCCTGCTGCCGCTTTCCTCCGCCTGTCGCACACTGCAGCAGGCCTGTACGGCTTGGTACAACCACATGTTCCAGCGTGCCCTGTCATGGGCCCCAGACATCTTACCAGTCACTGTTGCTCGATGGATGGATGGCACAAAGCGACGAACCCCGTTAGATCTGCGCAGGCACATCTCTCTGCCGTCTTGGACTGAGGGACAGGTCCGGCAATGGCACCAGTACGCAGTCATTTCGGGAGTCTTTCACATAGGTGCTGACATACACACCGGGCACTACCGGTCCTTCTGGATTCATCCCAACGGAGGCGTCCTATATGTGGGTGATGACGCCACCCGCCCATACCCGGCCTCGGCCTCAGATCGCAAACATGTAATGGAAGACTGCTACCTCCTTTTCTTGAGAAGACAGGAGTGACTCTGACTCACCCTCAAGGGGTGAGTGCTGGCCCTCCCAGACTAGGATCGCGTGCACCAATAGGGTGCCTGTGCGTGGGAAGGCCGGACCCCACAATAGGTGGGCATGGCCCTCCCCACGTCAAGGCCAAGCATGCTTTAGGCATGCGCAGGCTTACCCGCAGCTTTTAAGGCTGACCCAGCATGGCTGATAAGATTCACAGCCCAGACCACCAACATGGTCGCACCACCTCTCCCCTAGCTCCGGATTCACAAATGGGAGAGCCTTCCGAGCCTTTTGGGGTCGACACTCGACGCCAGACATCCGGCGGCGGCAAGCAGCGGTCAGGCAGAGCCCTGCATGCCGTCTCCAACGCTGAGCTGGCTCAGACTCTGGGGCCAGTGGCAGCCGCTCCTGGCATCAGTGAGTCCTGCCTGACACATATGGTGCCAATGGCAGAATGCGCAACTAGCAGCGGAGGCAATGCCTGTTTCTTCGTGTCTCTTCCAAGACGGACTGATAGCCCTTCTGCTTGATGCCGCCGCTGTCAGTCGGAAAAACATGCCCAAGCCCGCTGCCAAACACGTTACACCTGCATTGCTGCCAGCATGCACCACGCGGATCATATCCCGACATCAAGTCGTCACAACAAGCTGGAGCTCGATATTTTGCAGCCTGCAAAATAGCTTTGGCTGATCTCTGCCAGTTCGCTCAAAGCCTGTAGGCCGCAAAAGCTCTCCCATCGGTCTTTCTGACCTGGGCTGATCAGCTATAGGGTCTGAGTCAGTTTCACACCAAAGTGAGTGCACCGCGGCAATCGCCCGCTATGTGCAGAGCCCGCTCGCACAGCGTTCAATTGAAAATAGTAGTAGTAGTAGTAGTAGTAGTAGTAGTAGTAGTAGTAGTAGTAGTAGTAGTAGTAGTAGTAGTAGGAGCAACGGTATCACGCAAAATAGTAGTACTAGGTAATAGTAGGAGGGGCAGAAGCAGCAGCAGCAGCAGCAGCAGCCCTGACAGTTGACATGATTCGAATCAAGTAACCATGGAGGGCAGATCGTGGCAATCCCATCTGCCTTCAAACCTGCAGGGTCAACCAAATGCGGGCACAGCTGGAACAAAAGACATGTTCTGACACACAGCACCGACAAGCGCGTGATGCTGAGCAAGTAACGGGAGTGCAGGTGGTTCGCAGTATTGTCTGTGCTTCGAGGTGCCTGAGCAAGAGAAAGTCAACACACCCCGCTTGGCCCCGCGTTGAAAGAGACCTTTGCGAATGCGGGGGCCTGTTGCCTGCGCCGCCTCTCAGAGGCACTGTGCGCGCTCCCGGACGGGTCCTTTGAAGGAGTCCTAGCGCAAGCAGCGTCTTTTGTTGGGGTTCTGCCGGCTCTGCGACACAGCGAAGTCTACTTGGAGCCCTACGACAGGCGAGCGTTGGCAAGTCGTGACCAGTCATACCTCAATGTCGCGCCGGGAATGACACTGCAGTTCCACTCGTGTGCCACTGCGAGGAAGTTCTTGAGGCGGTGGCTCGATAAAGTTGCTATTGTATTCGGTGCGCATCTAGAACTATCGATATTGCCGCCAATGACTACCGACAACATGCCTGCTGTTGCACACAAAGCATGTGGGGAAGTCTCTTCAAGACATGATTGCCACGTCACTGCACATGAGCCAAGACCATCTGCCAGAAAGCCGGCACTTCTGCTCAACACCATAGACTGACATGTAGGCCACCACATGCTGCCAGTGGTTCAGAAGCTGACACACAGGAGAACCCCTTTCCAACTCCGCCACAGCCAAAAGTTGCAGTCTTCTAAGATTCTAAACGCATAAAGCGATGCGAAAATACATCGTTGGCTGACAAGCAATAATCTGCTCACGCCGGCCATGTAACCAGGGTACCTGTTACCTCGGCTCTCTCCCAACACGCACTATCAACATCAAGACAAGTGGAAGCTTAGACGGGGACTGTGGTCAGCGAAACATTGGCCTTTTTGTGCTGTACAAGGCCTTGCGGACGTCACCATAAGCACAATTCCTGCAGATACTTTGCTCGACCAAGCGGTCGGTACCAGGCACAAACCTCCTGGTGGCAGTGCAAAAGTCCCAGAATGCCCGATATGATGGACAACCAGTGCCACCACCTCGAAGCCGCGCGGAGGAGCTACGGCAGCTCGCTGCAATACCAGTTGCTGCCTGGCACAGGATCGTTGCAGGCTTGCTGGTTTTTCTGCAGCTTCAAATTCAAGCCCACCGGCCTGAACAGGTGCAGGTGCAAGTGGTTGCAGGTTGCTGATGTCTTAATTCCTCGCGACAACAACAGAATGAAATCTCGCGTGCTCTGCGTAGTTTCTCTTGTTCAGCTAAGGCTCTTTAGTTCTGGCACGCGGAAGCAGCTACCCTTGCAGCTCTTCCACAGGCACAGACTCGACTTCTGTGGAAGGCAGCCGCGCCTCACACAAAGAACCACTGACACGGTAGTGAGTCATCAGCTCGCAAAGGCATATTCGGTCATGCTTGCATCCCCCGCACAGACAAGCTCTTGGGATGGGAGTGCCTCCTGCTTCTGTTGCTTCCACTGCTCTGATTTAGCCTTCCTTCTTGCCTGCTCCGCGCGACTGCGCTCCGCACCATCGAGAAGCAATGACTCACTGACCGGCGATGTGCCTTGATTTCACTTTTGTCACATAAATGGCAATGTTGACATTCCGCTCCATTTCGGCCTGGAAGTGCAAGTGGCGGCAGGCAAAACCAATACTTCATTCCGATCTGCCGCTTGACTGACGGCATCCAAAAGGGAAAAGGAAAAGAAACAGGCTACAAAAGATTGCAGGGCCTTTTAGTGCAAGATATTACTCTCATTATGATTGGTACTGCAATGATCAGACTGGCCAAACTTCGCCAACACGAGGGTGTGTTTGAATTTGGACGCCTGCGCGCGTGTCGCTACGTCAATGCTGGTTTATACACAGATGACATAGATGAGCAAAAGATACCTTTACAGACGGATGTGCATGTTGAAGTACAGCAAGCGATATATCTGTGTGTACAAACACCTTTGCATACGCAGACGCAAACTACATGCTCCCGTACGTTTTCGCACGCTCGAACAAGCTCCTGTATCCACACAACTACATGTTCCTATGGTTACACCATTTAAGGCGACACAAGATAGCTTCTCTACATCGTAGTCGTAGTCAAAAAATCAGAGCCTGCATAGCCATTAGCATATCAGTCCGATTCTCAATAAAAAAACAAATGCACCCCCCCACCTGCCCCCAACTTCCCCAACTCCCCCTTCCCCGGTCTCATCTCGACACTACAACTGGAAGAGAAAAGAGATGTTTGCCCTGCCCTTGCTACGATAAAAGCTCTTGCGCCGTTCAATGTTGCATGCAAAACGGCTCAAGACAGTTGCCCTGTCCTATCTCTTCACGACAAGGTGGACAGTTTTATTCAGTGCACATCAAAGACTGTTCCACTTAACATGGCATTCCGCAGCATTCCTCACACAAGATCATGTTGTCCGCAAACGGCAGGGGTCCGAAATGTTGGCCTGCATCCCGAACTGCAATCCGCACTGTCCACTATTATCGATTATCGATTGGGGGATGGCAATTCTGCAGCCTGGCTCTGGGCATCACCTCTGCAAACATTTCCAAAAACGAATCTGTGGGGCTGATGCAGCCTAGTGGCATCCCTGCTCTTTCCAGAACCAAGCACATGGCTTGCAGCCACCCGTGCCATGCAAAACTGACCCGACAGAGAGATTTGTGCCTTGGCATGGTGTGGTGGTGGGAAAAGCATTCAATCAGCAAGCCAACACAAGTCACCGTCCAAGATGCCCTCGCGAGGAGTCAGTGCATCAGGCACGCCAATCATTTCCGAAGCATCCTGGTTGAATGGTGTTGGCAACTGATCGCCAAAGATCTCCCACAAGCCACCAAATTGAACTGAACTTGCATCCTTGCTCAAGCACACATCGGCGGCAGGGCTGGTCTGCAGTAGCGCGCCCACTGCCACACGCTTGGCCTTGCAAGACTTGCCCTCACGCTGTCTCGACACTCAAGCCAAGTTGCGTACGGTGCTGGCTCACCTGCTGTACCGTACTTAACATTTTGTGTCAGCTGTTCGACATGCGCCAGATGTCCTGCTTCCCGGGTGACTGGCCACAACGCAATCCAAAACAAATAAAGCTAAGTCTGGAACCGGGGCATCACCCAGAACCAAGCCCTCGCCTTGGCACATTGCGATTCCTCTGCTTCCCAACGGACCAACAGCTGCTGCAAAGCCACTGCTAGCTCCCAGCACATGCAATGTGCAACCCCGCCTGTGCAATCGGAACTTTCGCCCACACCTAAACCCAGAACGCGGAACTCGCCAGATGTGTCCTGTTGGACCTGCCGGAAAAGCTGTTGAGACACGGTCGTAAGTGTGGGTTCCGTCCTTCAAGTACAACGGCTCAGGAAAAGCAGTGTTGAAGGAGACTGCCTGCAACAGTAGCATCTCAACCAAACCTAAACGAACCAATGCTGGGAAACGACACCATCCTTGTCCCATTCCGCCTCCAGTGGCACCCACCACTCCGAATCATGACTGCACGTCAATGCAGAGGGCATGCAAGTCGTAGCCATGTCGGCCAGTTTCTTGCCTCGGTCGGGCCCCGGCCCAAAACACAATACAGACATTGATACCTGGTGCGCAACGTGAAATAAGAGCCGTGATTTGTGCGGCAGCCCCGCACCTGCAAACGGTAGTACGGATGCCTCTCGGAACAAGCGCCTCGATTTCGGACCAGCGCTGCGGACGCATAATTCAAGGGTTGGTCCAGGATACAATGCTTTTGTTGTTTTGCAATTTTTCTCGTTTGCGAAACACGTTACGGTCGGATACTTAGCCTTCTACTTTTTCGCACCTTTTTACAACAACACCAGAAGTACATGGTCCGATCCGTGTGCATGCTGCGGTCTACCGGTTAGGTGGGGCGGGCTGGGAGGCGGCTGGCGGCGGGTGCCTGCAACCAGTGTGCGTCAGCCGGGAGCTCGTGCAAAGCGGGTGGGTCACCACGGCGAACGGTGCGCTGGCTGCGCGGGCCTGCGCGAGAAGTCGGGGGAAGGTCGCGGCTTCCTCACTCCAGCGCCCACCAGTTTCAATGTAAAAAGCGACAAGGCGGCAGCGGCGAGCACGGAGCAACTCCGGGTAGGTGTGCCGGCGCTTGCGCTGCGCCGCGCGGGCCAACGCATGGCGTCGCTGACCGGCACATCAATGTTCATTTCATGAGCACGAACATGCGGGACCACCACTGTTCGAGCATGGTGCCCGAGCTCCGCCTTGGTCTTCGCAGGTGTCAATGGCGACACCACACCAGTGAACGGGGGAATCGCAAGGCATGATTCCTTCGCCTGCACAGCTGCTGGCCAGGAGGACGGCTCCATCTCAGCATACGATAGGATTGAGTTCTGATGGCTTACCGAGGGTCATTGCGGAACGCCTCCGAAGCATGATGGCCAGCGCCCAAGCAATCGTTGATAGACGGTCCTGGAAACAGAGTTCCCAAAGCAACACAACTCGAGGAACCAGTGCACAGCCAGAGTTTTTCTTCATTCCGGAAGTTTGCATGGAGTTGAGATGTCGGTCGCTACAGCGAGTGTGAACCACAAGCTCAACACCGAATGCAGCTGACGGCAGCATTCGAGCCCGTACAGATAGCAGCTGTGCATGCATGGGTAAGCCTAACGTGCTCAACTTCATCTCGCGCAAAGCTTGAATTTTCAGCTGGTGCAAATTCTCGGTCGCTCACGACGGGTCAACCTGTTCACGTGGTTAAGTCGACGAAAGCAAGACATGGCGATGAATCAGTGCAAGTGAATTCAAATCAGGCGCATATGCACATTTATTGTAAAAATGCAAGACTTCATTCAAACGCAAAACTTTTGGAGTTATTGGGTGAGATGCAGCAATGCATGTGGGATGTGGTCCTTTTCAGCGAGACTAGGGCCAACATCGACAAATTAACATTGGACGGAGGTCATTTACTGTATGGTTCACGCAGGGCCACAACTTGTGCAGGTGTTGCAATTGCGTTACACTCCAAACATAAAGCTTACGTGCAACAAGTTCGTGTACTCGATGACCGCTTGATGTGTTTGGACCTGAAGAACGGTGCGCGCATTATCCGGTTTGTGTCAGTATACATGCCCCACGCTGGATATCCGATCGACGATCTGCGACGCATGTACGAACAGCTTCAGTTTGTTCTTGAGGATGCTCGTCGGCGCGGTTTTGCGTACATGGTTGGGGGAGATTTCAATACACAACTGGGCATTGGAACACGTGGCGATCTGCTTGAACAGATGTGTCTAGCCTATGGCGTTGCAGTGTTGAACAGGGATTCACCTGTACAGGAGGCATGGACATTCGAAAGCAGCATGGGCATCAGGAGGCGTATTGACTTTTTGCTATGTCATGTTTCGTTGAGTGCGCGATCAGCTTGTACATCTTGCCATTTTGATTTAGGTTCCGATCACAGGGCAGTGCATGGATGCATTGAGGTTGAAATATGTCGAAAACCACGTGTTGCGCGTCAACGTTGTCGACGCGGATGGCACCCGACTGCCCCAACAAAGACTCTGTACGAATCATTGCTCGTTGACTGGTTGCGAAAATCAAAGCCACAGACGCTTTCGGAGCTTGAAGATGGTGTTAAACGTTGTGCAGAACAGGCAGAAAGTTGCACCCAACGATCCACTGATGCAAAGAAGCCTTGGGAACGTGAAGATTTTCGTGGCCTACTTCAACAACGACGGCAATGCAGATGTGCCGTGGAGCGGGCACATCTTTCCAAGCTTATTCGAAAACATTTGCGTCGCCATATGCGTCTACGACGTAATGAGAAGTTGAACGAGATCCTGAGCGAACTTTCCAGCCTAAATCCTCTTCATGCTGTTCAAGATGATAACATAAAACGACACAGTTGTTCGACGCAACCTTCCCCGGATGACTTCGCCGATTTTTTGGAGAACATCTTTTCGACTGACGATGACAGTCACGCGTCATTGCCTTTTACTTGCCCGCAGTCGTGTGTTGACAAGATTCCTGCATTCGACGATGCTGAACTCCAGTTGGCTTTGAAACAGCTTCGGAATGGTAAGTCTGCAGACGGCGATGGCTTGGTCTTGGAAATGTTTATTCATGCCGGCGGGATGTTACATCAGTGCTTACTCAGCATGTACAACCATATGCTACATGAACACGTTTGGGATCCGAAGTGGGGCCATACCGTTTTCAGCATGCTCCCGAAGACTGGTGATGCTTCAGTGGCTTCGAATTGGCGCCCGATTGCGATATTGAAAGTGACTTACAAAATTTTCTCGAAGATGTTGTGCTCGCGATTGCAACCGCTGCTGGAAAGTTACCAGTCACCCGACCAAGTGGGTTTTCGTCCGCATCGCGGGACTGATCATGCTTTTGCAGTGTTTGACACCATATGTGGCAAATCAGTTGAGTGGAAATGCAACTTGTGGTTTGCAAGCTTAGATCTTACGAAGGCTTTTGATCGCATGGAACACAACGCATTGTTTGCTGCACTTGCGAAACAGGGTGTGGAATCTTCGTACATACAGCTATTGAAGGCATTGTACTTGGGTCAGACAGGATCTGTTCATGGCAGCCGCAGATTTCGCATCACGCGTGGAGTCAAACAAGGTGATGTTTTGAGCCCTTTGCTTTTCAACGCTGGGCTTGAAGCAGCGATACAATCTTGGAAATCCCGCATCCGTGACTGTGGTATTCACGTGGGTCACACCGAACGTTTGACGAACATTCGCTTTGCAGACGACTTGATGATTTACAGCAAATCGTCATCTGAATTGGCCTACATGTTGGAAGTGTTGTCGGAAGAGCTTCTGAAAGTCGGTTTGCAACTCAATCCGAAGAAAACAAAAATTTTGACGACAACGGAGCTGGCATCGCCAATGTATTTGGATGTGCATGGAGACATGATTGCGGTTTTGCACGGTAAAGATCAACATCCTTACCTCGGACGTTTATTGTGTGGCAATCTCCGTGAGCGTGCAGCCGTGGAATACTCACACCGTATTCGGGTTGCATGGCACAAGTTTCATTTACATCGGCAGAGCTTGCTGAACAAACATGTCTCATTGAAGAACAGGTTGAAGCTGTTTCAAGCAGTTGTGACTCCGGCGGTACTGTATGGACTATCAACTTTGCCGCTTACTGACAAACAGTTTACTGACCTTGATGTTGTTCAACGTCGTATGCTGCGGTCCATAGTTGGTTGGCGACGTGTGGACGATGAGGAGTGGGTGGTCACGATGAGAAGGATGAACTCTCGGGTCTCTTACGCTTTATGCCAACACCCAATACCCAATTGGACAAAACAGCTGCGAAGTTGTAAATTCACACTGGCTTCGCGACTTGCGGGTCAACTCGGATGGCACTTTTATACCACGAAATGGTTACCAACAGAAAAATGGTGGCATAATTTCAGTGAAAAGCCGAGCCGAAAGCCTGGTCGTCCCGCTACGCGCTGGGATGATGACTTAAACATGTTCGCTGCGACTCACCTTGACCGAAATAGTTGGATCGATTGTGCTGCATCGTTGCCCGAATGGCGCACGTTGCAAAGCTTGTTCATATCTTAGGCGTGCATATGCTTTTCCTGACATTCCCCATGTCCTTTTAGGACCGTAGTCTTGGACTCGAACGGGCGCAAAGCAAAAGCAAAAGCTCAACTCCAGCACGATGCCCAGCTGCACCTGTTGGTCTGCAAACTCTACCTCTGAACCTTGGAGCTGCAAGGAGCGACGCCCGGCGATGTTGTTCACAACCACCTTATTTTTGCCTTCGAGGCCGCGACCTTTGTCCGCTTGCTGGCAAGGTGTCGGGCACGGTCCGTGCCCTCACCCTCACGCGCTGCCGCCATCTCGGCTTTCACTCTCCGGTGGTCTGCGTTCCTTTCCTTTGCAGCTGCGCGCTCTTTCGCAGCCAGCCTGTTGTCCCCCCGCTCGCAGACCGCGTGGTGTCACTGCGCTCTGCGTGCGCCGCCTGCCGCTCTTTGCTGTAGACTGTTGCCTTGGCTTTGCACAGGGACTGCGCTGGTTTGGACGGTGGTGAAAAGGTCCGTGGAAAAGAAAAAAAATTGGGTGCGCATCACGGAAAGTTGGCCGGGTCGTGCGGCAGCAGTGGTTGGCGCACATGCACTCCCGATGTCGATGCGGCGGATCGGCATCGGAAAAGCATAACTCCTGTTTCGGGCTTCGGGTAGGATAAAGTGGAATGTTGAACAAGGTGTTCGTTCGTACTTTCGACCTGGGTGTGATTCAGTTCTTCGTTTTTCTGGTGCACGGAGTCTGTTATGCGGGACGCTGGCATAGAAAGTCGGGAAGGGTTCCCGTAGTAGTTTTACCAGCCGGCAGGCTTGCGTATTAGCTCACGCAGATTACCGATTTGGTTCAAGGGCCTCTGTGGAGGTAAGGTAGGCTCCGACGAAGTCGCCGCTTCTTTGGCTTGTGACCGGCCCCTCTGCCACGCCTTCGAATCAGCGCAAGAAAACGCCCGCGATTCACCCCATACCATCAGTTTTTCGACGGTTTCGAGCCTCCTGTTGGGCGGC